CCCCCCCCTGACCGTCGGCTGACATTCTCTAATACTGGAGAACCAGAGTTCTGAGACAGCTGCAATTCAGAATTCTGACACAAAATTATAAAAAGTCAGGAGTGGGAGTAACCCTTTTTGATAGACAGTGAAAGTAGTCAAAAAGTCTCTTCCTCACTAAAAATAAATCCAACTCACACCAGAAGAGAACCTAAACCAATTTCTTGTTACAGGTCTGCTGAGGAAATACAAAAAAAGTCTAGGAAAACTGACCATATTAAATTTCTACACAGAATGGAAATTTAACAAAACCTTGTAAAAGATGTGTACACTATGCGTTATTTTCGAAAGAGGATATGCAAATTCCTGTGGAAGATATTTGCATATCTTCTTCCAATCTCACTTTTGAAAGTGGGTCTTTCGAAAGTGAAAGTAGTCTGGATGTGTTTTCGGAAAACAAATCCTTTTTTTTGAAAAAAAATGCTCTTCCTTTAAAAAAAAAAAAAAAAAAAAAGAGGTTTATGCAGTTTTTTGAAAAATGGTTTTTTCCCCCAAAACTCCCCCACATCCAGACTACTTTAATTTTCGAACAACCCGCTTTTGAAAGTGAGATCCTACGGAATTTGCATATCCTCTTTCAAAAATAATGCATAGTTTAGACATACCATATATGCAACTTCCAGAACAAAATCATATGGCACAGAAATACAAGTTCAAATCTGGACACATCCACATATTTCAGAGGGAGAGAATATTGATAGCATCTCAGCAGTACTGAAAAAAAAAAACACACACACAAATTCCTGCCTTTCAGAGATATCTATGAGGTCTGATAACGAAGACAATTGTTTTTTCCTATATTGACTGTTTCTTCCACCTTGTTCCACGAGCATATTTTGTGTGAAGATTTAGTCCTAACCAAATGGTGGCATTACTTCAAAAATATTTCAGATGGTTTCTTGCATTTTGCACGGTGTCAATTTAGATTTCAAAAATGCCTTTCAGCTTGTTTCATTTCATGCAAACATATTAGGTCAGCCTTCACTATGTAACTAAAGAACTGTGCTGCACTGCTTGCCTTTTTGCACTCTCTGTGTTATTCATTGGCAGAATTGTTGCTAAAGGGCCAAATCAGAACTTAGTCAACTAGTGCTATGGCAGTCCTGGGGTGAGCCTCAGGTCACTTCTGCCACTTGAGATTTGTAAGGACAGCCCCTTGGATTTCATTACATTTTGTTCCTACATTGTACCATGGAGACATTCATCTGGCTGTATTTCAAGGTTTGTTTCTTGCATGAATGCCCAACTCTTTCCTCAGTCTTGTCTGGAATCCAAGAATCTCTACTCTTGTTGTCAGAGTGCATAACATACATAAAAACATCACAGAATAGCTATGATGAACACAGATATAAAATAGATGCGTTTGAGGCATGATATACGGAGTTATCAAAAGGAAGAGTCTCTATTTTTGCAATACTTTTGCAAAAAGTCACAGAATCGCCAGGCTCTTGTTACAGTTCAAAAGCAAAAACCCCACAGGGAGCACAGAGCCAGCGGGGACTCCTCCATTGGCGCAGGACCTCAGCCTTTGCAATTTACAAGAACCCCAATGGGGCTCTTGTACATTTCAAAAGGAAGCCCTAAAGGGAACATGGGGCCAACAGGGGAGTCCCCCACTGGCCCTACACTCCTGGTGGGGCTTTTGCTTTTGAAATGTACAAGAGCTCCACCGGGGCTCTTATACACTTCAAAAGCAGAATTACAGCAGAACCAGCATGAGTGGAGACTTCTTCAGTCCCTACTCGCACCATTTTCCACTGGGTCTCTACCTCCCCTGCCCCCCGTGGAGATGGTGCTGAGGGAAATTGGCTTTTAGGCAAGTCCCCCCAGCACCAGCTCCTGCTCCCCCCACTTACTGCCACTCTCTGATAGAGGTAGCAAGAGGGGGGAAGTGACTAGTCACATCACTAGTCATCTATCCGATAAGCATAAGCTTATCAACTAGTCACTTGCATCCTTGTTCTGGATATGCTCCTCATAGAACCTGGGTACTTTTCAATGTAATATATTAAGTTTCCTATTGGAACTACATACAGGCAGCCCCTGACTTGTGATGCAATAAGTTCCTGGGGAAGCGCTGCAAGTCGGGGGCATTGTAACTCGAACTCGCATTTACGATAGGTGTCGTGCACCGTTGTAAATGCGGGCCGAGGACATAGGTCAGGGGGGTTTCGGCCCCTTCCGCACTTACAAAAATTATTGTAAGTGCGAGGCGTGGGGGAGTGGGGGAGAGTGTCGCAACTCGGGCCATCACAAAGGCGGGGGGGTTTCCTGTATCCGAGTTCAAACCTGGGGTCCCATTGGGAAAACAAGGCTATTAAAATAAGAGGTAGAAGCTAAGGAAGGAAGGAAGGGTTTTGAAGACACTTATGGATAACATTGAATAAAAGTTCCCTTTTTGCTTAAGACCTAAAGGCATGATATTTAAAAGATATCAAAATGATAGGCATTGGTCAGAGTCTCACAATATTAAAAGTAGCGATGTAAAAGGTTAATTGGTAAGCCTCATCCTTAACAGTTACATTCTGGGGCTCCCCAGGAGCAGCTGCTGGGGAGCTGGATGCAGAGCCTGCAGCAAAGCCGGAACCCCTTGCTGGCCCCACTCCCAGGGGGTGGCATCGCTGCATATTCTGCAGTATAAAGCAACCCTGCAGTTTGTGTAACTGACAACATTTTTGATGTTTACATGATTGCCTTTTTAAACGACTTTTTATATCCCAAATTAAAATGCTGATGTAGGAAAAATGTATGCATTATCTGAAAAATAGATTTTGTTTCTGTTTCCTCGAAAAACATATCAGCTTTTGAAAAAAAAAACACAATTTATTAACTAAATGCTTTAATTCAACTCACCTGCCAATGCTGAGTCACAGCATTCCATACTCCCACCTTTCCTGTATGACTAGTAGCCACCAGCTGGTTGCCAATGAAGAAGAGAGCATCTACAGGGACTCCAAGACTGAAGACTCCTACAAAAAACAGTCCATGAAGCTTGTTTTCAGAATAAAAACGGGGTGGAAAAAAAAAAAAAACAGTAAAAATGGACTCTGTCTCCTCCCTTTAGATATATAATGAATTTGACCAATTGCCACAGTAAGCCCCGATTCTAAATCAAAGGCATCTTTTCATGATCAGCCAATCATAGAAACTGCAAGAAGCTCCCCCCTCTTGCCTCTCAAAAATGACAGCCCAGAATGCATGAGCATCTCAATAATAATAATTATAATAATAAACCAATTTGCTAATAAAAATATCAGTATGATGAAAGCTGTTCAATCAATAATTAAGATATTTGAAGCAGTACTACAGAAGCAATAGGCCCTTATTTTTTCCTTTTTTCAAGTCTTACACCTACTGATCCTGTTTAAATATATTTTTCCACACATTTGTCTTTACCACTGAGTGCTACTGGTACTTTCACTAGCATTCACTTGTCACTACTGTGACTGCTGGAAAAAGATCAAAAGGGGCTCACAATACAAAAAACAGATGTTTAATTTTCTGAATTCTCACTCATCACATGATTAGGAAACGGTGTCAACCTAATTAGGGCAGCTGACTCATTCCACTTCACTGCATACTTATTAGATACTTCTAGTGGCACTAAGATGTCACAGTGGCATTCAGGCTCGGTCTACACCATGAACTTACATTGATATAACTACGTTACCCAGGAATATGAAAAATCCACATCCCCGAGCAATGTATTTATCCCAACCTAATCTTCAGTGCAGACAGCACTATGGCAACATTTGGCTTCTCTTCAACTTAACATAGTTATTGCCCCTCGCAGAGGTAGATTAACTATGCCAACAGGAAAAATTTGCCCTTTGGAGTAGTAGCATCTGCACTGTAGCAGTGCAGCTGCACCATTGTAGCATTTTAAGTGTAGACCTGCCCTCAATCTCCCATTCAGGGCATAATATGACCGGTATTGATTGACATGCTTAAATTAGTGTACGATAATATTTAATACAAAATCAGACTGATCGTGAAGAGTCACAGCAAATCAACATTGAAGAGTTTTCGTAGTTCTCCAAGTTTGTTTTCTTGGGGGTGATTTGGAAGGATGCTTGCCAGCTAGATCAATCATGTATACTGCCATGTAACAAGAAACAACAATGCTAAATACAGTATGGTTGTAAATATAAACCTATCTTCTTTCATTATTAAACTCATCATTGCTTACTAGAACACATACACTGACAAAAAGGAGTTTCTCGGTCTACACTTGTCTACTGACATTTATACTAAGTTACACAAAGATCTCACACAGCTACTTAAATGTTTTAATAAATAATATATAGAGGTACATGTCCAAAAGCTATGCAAATGCCTATATTAAAACTCAACAGAAATCCCTTGAAGTTAAACACTGAAAATTCTCAAAACTTTATTTGGACAAATTTAAACGACAAAAATCAAGATGCTGTTTCAAACAAAAGAATAATAGTCTACTATGCTCTATGATGGCAGTCTGTAAGTTTGTGCACTAGTCATGATGCCAAAAGATTTTTCAGGTCATGGGAGATCATCTCTGATGCAAATTATATTCAGCAGTACCAGGCACATAAAACCAGGCAATAATAAAAAAAAAAAATAAAAAAAAAAAAAAAAAAAAAAAAAAGGGAAACAACTAGAATTGATTACTCCAGAGAAGGATAAGGTTCAGGGAAATCAAGGAAGACAGCTTGAATGGTCTGAAGGAATTTAAAATGTCACTCCTGCTTAGGCTCAACAATCTTGACGGCCATCTACAGGGAAGACGATGGTATAAGAAATGACAGGTTCCTGTCTTAAGGGGCCCTCTCAGTAAAACACTGCTTATAGCAGCAATCCAGTAGTGGTGTCCTACGTAACTAATATTGAAAGGAGTACAGCCTCTGGGAGAGCTCTATCATGGAGATGCCAGCCCTTGCAATTTTCTGTGGATAGTGTTGTCAGATTCTGAAGAGCATTTGTAACAACAAATTGTTTCTTTTACAGGACATGGAAAAACTACTGCTTTACTATCCAAAGGCCCGGCTGCAAACATTTGACTGTGTAGAGAAATAGGCCAGTAAAACTATTTTATTGTTGGGTTACTAGATTGCTTAGTTTAATTGAATTGGTGGAAGTGGGGAATCCTACACATTTGAACTGTAACAGCAATTTGGAAACAGAAGTGTGGAACACTTAGTCTGTAATATTAACAAGCACACATAATACAGTTAGATAGAATGTTTCAAATTAAAACATGGAAATTTTCATAAATGTTTGGATTCTTCTAAAATTTTCCATGTTCAAAAATATGGTAGCAACTTCCCACAAAAAAATTTAGGCTGTTGATTGCTCTGCAAAATATTTTTCTTTTTCTGGTTTCTGTTTTTAGTTGTTTTATTGACATTTGGTTTAACTGGTCCTAATAGGAGAGGCAGACCTCAGAGCATGGGTTCCCAAACTGGGGGGGCGTGTCCCCCTGAAGGGGCATGAAGAAATTCCAGGGGGGGCCACAAGACAACCCAGCCCTCCTCTCCCCCCCCCCCAATCAACCCTCTCCCCCAAGTTTGCTGCTATTTTTATTCTTCAGCCCTGGTCAGTTCCTTTTTTCCCCCCTCAAGTTTTGCTGCTATTTGGTGGGGGGGAGGGGAGAAGAAGAGGGCCTGAGGGTTTCTCAAAAATGAAAAAGGGGGCATGAAGCCAAAAAGTTTGGGAACCACTGTCATTGAGAATGGGTTTATTGATATAGTAGATTGGTGCAAAACTGGTCTACAGAAACTAAGCCATGCTGCACTGGACAGGGAAAGATGGAAGGAAATAGTGAGGGAGGCATTGGACACCAATGGGCATTGAGCCCATGGTTGTTGATGATGATGAATTTTAACTGGCCTACTTAGACACACAGCAAGATCTTTTCTAATCTGAAATATTGTTTTCATAATTTTCAGATGTCACTATATATAAAAAAATGTGTTTTCAAAAACTTTTCCAAACAAAAGATATACTGCCATGTAACATTAAACATGTTTTTGAATTTCTGCACCTTGGTATGTAGAATATTTGAAGAGTGGGCGGGGGGGAAGGGGAGAAATTTTTGCAGGTATCAGAGACTATTTTAGCTACAGTAATCCAAAAATAATCATGTGTTGACATAAGCAGCAATAGTATAGCTATGGCTACAATGGCAATTACAGCTAGCTTTATAAACACACCCTAGGCTTCTCCAGAGTTTAATAATTTCTTTGAAAAAGGAAAGGTCATATAATGAAATCTCACAGACCCCTCTATGCTTTCACTGATGAGAGAAAAGAAATTTTAAAAATTCTATTTTTTTTGTGTTCAGATTGTGTCAGCTGTCTTGGACTCAACGCAAATTGTACTGTAGGCTAGGGATCATAGAATACTAAGACTGGAAGGGACCTCGAGAGGTCATCGAGTCCAGTCCCCCGCCCTCATGGCAGGACCAAATACCATCTAGACCATCCCTGACAGACACCTATCCAACCTACTCTTAAATATCTCCACAAATGGAGATTCCACAACCTTCCTGGGCAATTTATTCCAGTGTCTGACTACACTGACAGTTAGGAACTTTTTCCTAATATCCAACCTAAACCTCCCTTGCCCATTGCTTCTTGTTCTATCCTCAGAGGCCAAGATGAACAAGTTTTCTCCCTCCTTCTTATGACACCCTTTTAGATATCTGAAAACTGCTATCATGTCCCCCCTCAATCATCTCTTTTCTAAACTAAACAACCCCAATTCCTTCAGTCTTCCCTCATAGGTCATGTTCTCTAGACCTTTAATTATTCTCAGTGCTCTTCTCTGGACCCTCTCCAATTTCTCCACATCTTTCTTGAAATGCGGTGCCCAGAACTGGACACAATACTCCAACTGAGGCTTAACCAGCACAGAGTAGAGAGGAAGAATGACTTCTCGTGTCTTGCTCACAACACACCTGTTAATGCATCCCAGAATCATGTTTGCTTTCTTTGCAACAGCATCACACTGCTGACTCATATTCAACTTGTGGTCCACTATAACCCCTAGATCCCTTTCTGCCATACTCCTTCCCAGACAGTCACTTCCCATTCTGCATGTATGAAACTGATTGTTCCTTCCTAAGTGGAGCACTTTGCATTTGTCTTTATTAAACTTCATCCTATTTACCTCAGACCATTTCTCCAATTTGTCCAGGTCATTTTGAATTATTACACTATCCTCCAGATTAGTCGCAAACCCTCCCAGCTTGGTATCATCTGCAAACTTAATAAGCGTACTTTCTATACCAATATCTAAATCGTTGATGAAGATATTGAACAGAGCTGGTCCCAAAACAGACCACCACAGAATCCCACTTGTTATGCCTTTCTAGCAGGATTGTGAACAATTAATAACTACTCTGAGTATGGTTATCCAGCCAGTTATGCACCCACCTTATAGTAGCCCC